CATTCTGAAGTTATATCACTTTTTGAAAATTGCACTTATCTCCCATTATTAAATTAATTTAATTCTGTGGTATAAAAATTCCACAAGTACACAATCAAATGCTTGTATGTTACTTCTGTGCCACCCCCGACCCCCAAACACACATACACTCATGGCCCCCTTTCCTCCAGAAAGAAGTAAAGAAAAGAAAAGCCCCTCTAGCTGTTTCAGGCCAGCAATCAATCCAATTTACTGCAGGTACAATTTATATGTACAGTGCATGCCACAACAAAACCACAGTGTGATGCCAACATGGCCCTTAAGAAAGTTTTCCCCTAAATCTCTGGAAAGGAGCTTTAAAAGAAAGCAAGGATTACAGTCAGCTAGAAGGTAGGGAGGGGACTTACCTCAAACCCAGCCAAGCGGAAATCAGAGCAGTAATTCTACAAGTCGACAGAGTACACTTTCAAAGCTATAATGGTGTGAAGAAGTGCTGGGCAGCATGGCCTGAAGGCAGCACTAATACACTGATGACTAATGGCTGGGCCGGGGCAGACAATGAATTTGGGGCTTGAAAACTAACAGAAACCATGCAGTACTTTGACAAATGGGCTTTCAAGATTTCATTCATTGAATAACCTTTAAGCACAAAATTGGCTCGGGTTCTCTTGGGAATGATATGACATGTTGCTGGACAATGATGTAAGTATTTTCTTTTTTAATTATGACTCTTACGCAAAACACAAGAGCACCATATACGAGGATACAGCTATAGATACCATAGAGGCAGACGTGGAACTCAACACAATATTGCCTTTCAGGAGGGGGCTGAAATGTTCCAGTGCCACCTTATTAACTATGTAATGGCTTTTTCATTCAGCTTCTTTAGAAAGCCATAGATTTTCTGAGACATTTTGTCGGGTTGAAATATACACACCCAGAACAAAAAACACTTTCACATTAAACACACACACACACACACACACACACACACATACACAGGTAATGAGTAGTTAAGAAATTTGGCACTAAAACACAGTGCATTTAGATTTACAAATGGAAAAAGTCTAATTTTCAGGGGCCAGGCAAAGGAAAAGTGTCATAAAACAACGGAGACACCAGCGTAAAGTTTGCAATCAAATGCACTTACAAACACACTTAACATCCAATGTCTTTTCCTCAGCTCTCCTCCCTCTTCCCAGCTTAATTAGCCTTTCGATTTAAAAATAATAATTTTGGCAATTTTTAAAGAGAGAATGAAATATCAAGTGTCTCCAAATTAACAAGTACCACTTACTCCAGACAGCATTGCCTTTAGCAGGTCCTAAAAACTTAAGAAAAGGATCTTAAAACAGGAAGCTTAGTGAGCTCATAAAACTGTTGTTGGAGCCAGGAACACATAGCATATTTAATCTGCAAACTGTGAGAGTCCACAGTGATTTCAACAAGATCTGAGGCATGCCCTCAAGGTTTGCTGGGATCTGGGATTAAGGGGTTGATAAGAACCTCTACTGCCCATGGACATGTTTTTCTTCTGCAGTTAAACACAAATGCATGGAGACGTTTGACTGCTGCTTGGCGTTACTGCTCAAGTTATATAAAAGCTTTGCAGCTCCTTTTGCTGTCAATATATCAAAGTTTAAAAAAAATCATCAAAGTGTGAAATTTCATTTAAAGTCTTCGCCAGTCTACAGCTCTATTTCACAGGCCCATCAAATAAAAGTAAAGATGAAAAATGCACTGAAAGTACTTGAGAAAGTTTGCAGCAGTACTCCTGCCCTGTTGTTGTTTATTCTGTCTCCCTTTATTTGCTTTGAAACTAGAACGGATCAATTTTCATCTAGAAAAATGACATCATGAAGTGAAAGGAAGCAGCTTCTCCCAGACTTTAATGAGAAGACAACCTGAAATCATCATTACAGTGGAATCTTTTGTTTAACAAATATATATGTATTTGTTGCCTCTGTAGTCATTTCAGCATTTTAATTGCCTCTCCTGGTATAAGTTGGCAGAAAATTTCTTGAATCTTCCAAAACAAATCAGACAGACCTTAGAATATGAATGCCAGCACAACTTAAAACTCCTTCAAAGAATTCTTTAGCTGGAGATTTACAACAATTGCATAAAGAAGAAAAGTTTGACTTTTAAGATAATCTACTATAGTCTAAAAGCATTAACATTCCATTACTAAGGTTTTTTGAGTATTTCATGACTCATTGATTCATTTCTCCAAGATTGGTTATTCTGAGTACATTACTATCTCCATATAAGTGAGTGCATGCAAGGATGATCATTAAATTGTTTCCTTTCATAAGCTCCCAAACTCTATCCTCAAAAGGGGAGGGGGGAAGTGTCTCAGTAAGCAGGATACCTTACATAGAAGGAAAGACCTCTAAATGGCTAAACTCAGAGGAAGTCTGAAAGCCTTATAGCATGCAGGTAATTAAGGAAACTTCACTGGCTAAGAAACAAAGGAAAAGTCCAACTTTTAGGCTTGGGCATCAAGTTGATAAATTAACGATTCTTTCATTAAATAAGTAATGAAATAACTCAATGGAGCCATTTTTCATCAGGGCTGAATTTTCTCATTTCTATCTGGGGTCCTTTGCAAATTAGATATACAATAAAAATGTGTGTATATCAGGGTTCAATCAAGGAATACAAGTATGTTAAAAGCACGGGGAATTGGTAGGCATCTGGGTCAAACCTACTGGCCTATTAGCAATAATGCAATCTATACCTTTTAAAGTGATTCTCCTTGTGTGAAATTTCACTAGACACCTCTCCCATTGAACTCATTCACGCATCTTAAACCAAAGCTTCCCTAGGCTGACTTTAAGAATTATACTCCCTGAAAGGATCTCCCCTTAGGCAGAGAGTTTCTAATTAAATAGCTTTTAGTGTAAAATAAACTCTCTGCTCTGTATAAATATGCTATTCCAACTAATTTAAATGTTATTTCATGTTTGTGTTAGGGTTGACTATAATCTAACTGGCCAAAGTGTTTGTGTACCAGGTTGTTAAGACCAATATTTCCTAACGTAAACAAATTCTTTAGATACTTCGCACAGTTTACATTGTTAGAACCAATCGCCAGTGCTTTAATAAATTCCCTCCATTGAAATACTGTTCTGCTTTAGAAAAAATGAAAAGATTTTGAGGTTATTTCACTATTTTAAAACATAGCATTTTCCTCCTTCAAAATAATCTTGACACATGTAATTAAGAAACTGTCAGACTATTATTAATTTTTAATTTAAAACCTAAATGAAATAATTACAGAAATCAATCAATAAGGCACCTATTCAAATTACAGAGCAATTACATAAATACTCAAAATTAATACTTTAGGCCAATTCTTGAAGATTTCAGTCTATAACATGCGAAGACATCAAACAACACAAAAAGTGAAAAATGGGGAGGATGAATAGTTCCTGCCTTAAATAGGCTGAAATGAGGTCATTAGGCCCCCCACCAGCCATGCCCAATGCACTCAAGCAGCAACTCTTTTTTAAAAGTTAATTTATTTCCATCAGACCCATATTTCAGAGATCAAAAAAAAAATGGCTTCATCCAAATGCTGTACAAAATCACATTTAGGAATGCAAGGCCTAATTACTTGAATTTTCAGTTTAGGTATATATTGTGCTCTGCAAAGATATATTTGAGAGAAGAGGGAAGAGAGGGAAAGGAGTGCAGGAGATGTTTTTTAGAACTAATAATACCAGCCTGGCTAATGGCACTGCCCATGTCTTTGCACAGCGGCAGGTCCTCCATACCTCTGACTAAAGGGTTCTTTTACTTGGAGACGCGGACAGTCCATCATTTCAAACTGAAGTGGCAGCTGGAAAATGTGGAACAGCTGGCAAAGAGCTGGGAGAAAATGTTTTACATAAATATATGTACATATAAACTGGCAGAGGGCCATGAGCACTGTACCCAAGGCCAGAATCTCTCCGGCAGTCTACACTAGGGAGATGAGAAGTTGGGGGGCAGGAGGAACAGCGTCGGAGGAAACCTCCTTAATCATCTTTCCACACAGTGTGCACGGGAAGCCTGAGATCCTGCACCTCTGGGGGGGGGGGGGACTGCATCCTTCTGGAAAAGGTGCAGTCGGGGACACGAGCACAAATTTCAGAAAAGGATAAAAAGCCGGGTGTGGAGTGGAGCGTCCGCATCTGGCAATCGGCTTAAGAGTCGCTTCACAAACTCTCCAACTTTGGGGTCAATATTTACTCCTTCTCCACCTCCTCCCGCCCATTTTCCCGCTACAACTCAAGAAAGTAACTGTCCCCTGCAGAGCGATTCATACCCAACTCTGCTCTGTGTAAACGCGGCCTCTTAAATGATTACTGCAAGGGCCACAGCTACTTTTTTCTTTTTTGAGCGTGCTGGCCCTGGAAAGGAAAAGAAATAAAAGAGAATCCCAAATCATACACAGATGGTACAACTTTCACTTTTCCTCTACCAACGGAGGCGCGCCTCTCTCCATCCGCTCACACCACACCCCCACCCTTCGAAGTGGAGCTCTAGCAGAAGAAAGCCCCGGCAGCTGTGGTCCCCGCGCTACCCACCTCGCCGCCCGCCTCCTTCCGCCCATCCGGGTGGCGGTGAGCGCCTGGCGTCGGAGCCCGAGAGCGCAACAGATCATAGGAAGGACACGGGAGCTTTGGGGTCTAACGTAGTTCTTTTTAACCCTTTTGGGAGAGAGAGTGAAGAAGAGGGGCGCAGTCGCCGCAGCTGCAAACTTCGTCCCCTCTCTGGGATGTTAAATTCTGCAGTCCGTCTCCGGACCGCCAAGGGATCAGACACTGGGAAGCGGACCTTCAAGAAGGAGGGAGCAAATGAAAGACTTGTTCCGACGCCTTACGGATGACTGTCTAAACCTGGGCGCCCTTTGACAGCCATTTTCATACTATTCGTTTCCCCTAGGAGGACCACCTCTGGACTCGCAGGCGGGGGCGCGGCCGCAGGAGCGGGCTGCGGGGCCCGCAAAACAAAGAACTTCGGGCGGGACGTACCTGCGGTGGCGGCGACTGTCAAGTCCCCGAACTTCCCATAGACCCACGTCCGGGGAGCGAGCGGACGGCTCCCGGCTCCGCGCGGTCGCGGGTGGCTCGGGCTACCGCAAGCGGGTGGCGCCCGCAGCGGGCATGTTGCGACGCGGGCAGCCGCGGGGCGCTCAGGGAGGGCTGGCGAGCGGCGCCAGCGAGTGGGAGCGACGAGTGTGCGCGAGTGCGAGTGTGCGAGCGCGCCGGTGGCGCTGCCCCAGCCCGCTCCCTCCCGCTCGTGCAGCTCCGGCATCAGTTTCAGGGATCGTGTAATCCGATCCCTTCTGACTCACAGGCCCTGAGTGACAGTTCTGATTTGGTTCAACCGCGGGAGGGAGGGAGGGGAAAGAGAAAGAAAGAAACCCCCCACCGTCTGCCCCTCCCGGCGTCCAATCCACTTTCTGGAAAAAGGTCCCATCCCGGCCTGGAACCCCTCGCAGGGTGGAGGAGCCCCCCGCCCCGACACGGAGCTGCCAGCGCTACTCACGGGGTGGAAAAGTTGTCCCTCGGTTCCGTGCTTCCCTCCCGCGCGCTCCCTCCTTTCCTCCTCTCCTCCTCTTCCTCCTCCTCCTCCCCGCATTCCTCCTCCCCCAAGTTTTAACAGATGTTGCCGGACTCTCCACTCTTCCTTGGGCTCCCTCTTCCTCCGCCCCCGCCCCCGCCCCCGCCCCGTCCCTTTTCTTTCTGCCACTCCAGAGCTCGGTGGGGACGCGCCGAGCAGCAGGACGCCTGCCGCCGCAGGGGGCGAAGTTGGGAAAACTTGGAGTGCTGCTCGCCTTACTTTTGCTTTCTGGCTCCTTCCAGGCCGCGCCGGGGGCCCGCGCTTCCCCCGCCCGGCGGGTCCCCGCTCTGAGAGCGGGTCCCAGCAGCGAAGCGGGCGGCGGTAGCGAGGAGGCCGCGCGTCGCGGGCTGGGGTCGGCGGCTGGTCGGGGGGGAGCCCAGGCGCCCGGAGCCACGCGCGCGCTCCCTCCCCGCCCTCCGCCTCCTCCGCCCCTCCCCGGTCCTCACACAGACACATTCATGCCTGCTCCTCCTCTTCCCCCTCCTTGACCCCGCGCCCGCTTGGCGCGCAGAGGCCCCACCCACCCGACGAGGGGAAGGGGGCCGGGGCGTGATGTCACGGGCTCCCTCTTGGCCTGCGGCAGCTGCACCGCCCAGACGCCCCCCAACCGCTCGCCCAGGCTCTGGGGCCATGTCCTCCCTGCACCTCTCTCTTCTCACTCAGCCTCTGCTCTTCCCTTTCTTTCGCTCTGGGGTTGGACTCCCTTCTTTTAAGGACTCTCTGATCACTGCCCTCTCCCCGCCTCAAACACACCTCACCTTCCCCCTCTCCTATTTTAACATTTACCCAGGCAAACCCTAAAACTCCTCTCTCGCGCGGGATGATGCATTTGGAAGTCCAGGATTTTCTTCTCTGCTGGACTCATCTGCCCTTGGGGCCAAATCTGGGAAGTAGGAACTCCCACCACACAGCCCCAAGTCCCCTAGCGCCACTTATAAAGGACACAAAAACAAAGACCCCGGGCTTAGAGCCTGGATTCGAACGTGTTGCTTTTCCTTGGATTACAAAGTCTCTCTGTCCTTGATTTGTTTTCAGAGGCCCATAGTGTAAAAACTTCCCCCCTTTCTTCAACCACCAGTCTGCATTCATCTGCACCCTTTCAATGTACCCAACCTGGACCTGGACCTTTAAAAAAGGAGATCTGGTTGGGGGCAGGGCGGGTGAGGGGCGTGGATGAAAAGCAAACCCCTGTTATACTCTAGAATCTGGGGTAAGCAGAGTCTACTACTACCCACCTCCCCAGCCAGAAGTGCCTGTTAGCTCAGGAGGCTCCTAGGGAGTCTCTGGGAGTCTTAACTGGAAAAAAAAAAAAAAAAGAGTGGGTGGATGAATGATTAGCTATTATGATTTGAAGAGCATTTTGAGATTCAAGTGCTTAACTGGAAAATTTTTTTAAGAGAATCCACCATGGTATTCACTATTTGTTTCCTGGGCCTTGTTGCTTATCACAAAAACATGACAAAAGCCGATACTGACTTAAGCTTTTATGGTAAAAGTAGTAGAAATAAAGTAGGGTCCAAGTCACTTGTTAGCCATTTGTTTTAAGAATTTTCTCTACCTCACCACTCTTAAAAAACAAAACAAAACAAAATAAATAAATAAAACACTCATTGATCATAGAGAGCAGAAGTCTCAGAAAACAAGACCAGCTTCCTCTAGCTAACTGGTCTCAGGCCTGGCAGGATCCTCAGATCCTTAGGCCCTGAACTCATCTGTGGGTTAGGGTCAGGAATACCAGGCCACATACATGCTATCTATTATATCTGTGAAAGTATAAAAGGACACAGCATGTAAGAATTATTTTACTCTTCCAATTGCAGAGAGCTACAAGCTATTCTTTCCCTTATATATTCCTGCAGCATCAGTCTTTTTAAAAAATTTTTATTCAGGACTGCTTCTGCCTCAATCACATGAATGCAAATAATATATCCTATCGCTTTCTCTGTTCATGCATGGTAAATAAATAAAGGACAGCCAATAAATCAACAAGTAGAATCAACTAGATATTTTGACTTTCACTTCAGTCTTCTAGCATATTTTGAGTAATAAGGATCTTGATTTTTCAGTTCTAAAAAGACTAGAACAAAGACAAAGCAGCTAATCTTTGCTCTATACCCATCAAAATAAATTTTTAAAGGAAGAATAATGCTGTATCCCCTGTGTATTCCAATTTCCTCACCTTACCTTCTTGGTGGAAGCAGACCTCTCTCTGCTTTCGTAGTAAACATAATTTAAGTGTGCACATTTGTCAGAAGTAGTGTAGGAAAACAGGAAAAAAAAACATACATTTTTGCCTTATTATGAGTTAAATGATGCCATAGTGCAATGATTTTCAATCTATGTTAACTTCAAAACTATTTTCAAGTTAATCTCTCTAAAAATCCCAAAATATAAAAAAGGGGTTACTCCAGTTTAAGTTAGAGAGAACTTTCAGAATCTAGCCCCTAAGCCTTTCTCTTTTCACCCATTCCCTTTTCCGCAATGGCTCCTAAGACATCTGTAAGAAACTCACCCTGAAACTCAGTATTGAAACTTCTCTTGTCATGATAAACAGGCACTTACAGACTTACTGGGCTCTGAGACTGCCCCTCCTTGATGCCTGCAATTCTACCATTAAGGATTCACTTATTGCCTCCTCTCACCAGTTCTCTTTTCAAATGCAAATGTCTTAGGAAATTGTAATACAGTAAGTCCTCAGAATAATTAAGCGTTTAAAACAGATTTTTTTTTTTTTGCAACAATGAAGTAGGAGATTTGAAGATGCTCTCATTAGTTTCCTAGGGCTGCCCTAACAAAGTATCACAAACTGAGTGGCTTTAACAGCAGAAATTCATTGTCTTATGTTTTTGGAGACCAGAACTCCAAAATTAAAGGGTCATGAAAGGCCATGCTCCCTCTGAAACCCTTACGGGAAAAATCTTTCCTTGCCCCTGTCTGTCTTTTTGTTGTTGTTGTTCATTTTAGTTACACATGACAAAAGAATGTATTTTGGCAATTTATACTCACAGAGAGTATGACTTATTCTATTTAGGATCCCACTCTTGTTGTACATGATGCCAAGATACCCTGGTCGTGTATTCAAATATGAAGCTCTGAAAGTTCTATTTAATTAATTCTGCTATCTTTCCTATTTCCCTCCTCCTTCCCTTCACTTCATTTCCCTTTGTCTAATTCAATAGATTTCTATTCTTCTCCTCCTCAACCTCCCTTATTGTGGATCAGCATCCACAAATCAGAGAGAACAAACATTGTGCCTTTGGTTTTTGGGGATTGGTTTATTTCACTTACCATGATAGTTTCCAGTTCCATTTATCATCAAGTGCCATAATTTCATTCTTCTTTGTGGCTAAGTAATATTCCTTTGTGTATATATACACCACATTTTCTTTATCCATTCATCCCTTGAAAAACACCTCTATTGTTTCCCTAGTTTAGCTTTTGTGAATTGAACTGCTACACACATAAGAGACCATACTTTCAGGGATTATTTCTATACTTTGTTACTAACTGGCTTCTTCAAGCAGCTGCTAATCCCTGATGTCCCTTGGCTTGCAGCTGCTTCACTCCACTCTCTGCCTCTGTCCTTATAAGGCCTTCTCCCTTTGTCGCTCCTCTTATAATGGCAGAAGTCATGTTGGATTAGAGGCCCACCTTACTCCAGAATGACCTCATCTAAAGTAATTATATCTGCAACACTGTTTCCAAATAAGATTATTTTCTAAAATTCTTGGGATTAGAAGTACAACATTTCTTTTAGGGGGATACAGTTTAACTCATAACAACACAGTTCCTTAAAGCTGTGGGTGTTGGAGGCTTGGTCCTCAGTCTGGTGATGTTGAGGTGGGCCCTAAGTAGAAGGTGATTAGGTCATTGGGGGTGCTGCCCTGGGAAGAGATTAAGGGAATTCCGTGGGCACCCCAGTTGTGCTCAAGAAAGCTCATTATTATAAAAGAGCAAGACCGACCCCTTCCCAGTCTCTGGTTTCTTTTCTCACTGTGTGATTGCTCTCACAAGTGCTCCCACCATGATGCCATCTTGTCATGAGGCCCTCACCACTGGACAAATTGATGAGGAATCCTGATCTTGGACTTTAAGCTAAAACTGTGAGTTAAATAAGCCTCTCTGCTTTATAAAGTGTTCAGCCTCAGGTATTTTGTGTTAGCAATGGAAAATAAACTAATAGAGACAAAGAGGTTGGAATGAAAGATCAGTAACAGAGACGACAAATGGTGAAACTGAGTATACACTTCCCATGTTCTTCTCCATTTTTCCCCTGATATATGTGTGGTTATAAATACTCTTCTTGCCCTCAGTTACCATTGCAATTCTTCCATTTTCCTGAACAGCAGTTCTTCCCAATTGATAATTTGGAAATGGTAAGGGGGTGTTTCATGTGCACTGATAAACTTCCAGTTATAAGTCAAATTTAATTAAGTAAAATTTTAAAATGTAGGTGCTCTATTGAATAGAAAGCCCAGAAGTATGAAAAGTAGGCTGCAGGCATGGCAGGACCCAGGAACTCAAACAATCTTTCAGCTCTGCTTTTTTTCCACTTCATATAAACTTGCTTTAAGCAACCAAGCAGGGGTAGCTGAAGGCAGTTGAATTCCACATAATCAATCTTACAGTTTGCATTCCCAGAGAATAATCACCTTTCCCAAGAGGATGAGATATTCTTGGCAAGGAATCCTTGGCCGTTCATAGGTAAACAATTAACACTTGTCCTCTATAAAGCTCAACCCATGTTCTCCATAAAGGCCACCATTTTCCTC